AAAAAAGTATTCATGAAAGCAGTTTCATACATGGTGAAATTGGTGCATGGAGTAAGTGAAAATAATTATGGAATGGGTGCATGATGAAACCGGTTTCATACATGGTGACATTGGTGCATAGAGTGAGTGAAAATGATTATGAAATAAGTGCATCATGAAATGAGTGCATGATGAACATGATGCATGAAGATATGGGTGCGTGATGAGGTTTAAGATGCATGAAATGGGTGTATGATGAATAGTGAAAATGTTTCATGAAACAGGTTCATGAGGTTTAAGATGTGGCTGATTTTACTGCCCTTCTCGCTATTATAAAATAAAATTTTTAGTATATATATTTTTAAATTTTCTAAAATAAACTAAACTAATCTTAACCATTAATCAAGAAAATGGATGGATGAGATTGGTTTACATGGTTTACAAAAAATGGGGGCGGTTTTCATTTGATCGCTCCTCTATACACATATACATGTGTATATATAATATTAATGTAGGGGATGGTTCAAACAACAAGACTAAATGTTGTGAGAAGGTAATGTTAAAGGAATATTCATACGTATATAATTGAAAAATAAAAAAATATATATATATTAAAGATGCTTATATAAATCAACGTTACATAATATTCATACAGGTTAATATATATAGGGCCGTCCTTGGGTGGGACGGGGGCACGCCCATGCCCCACAAGAAATAAGGGCCTAATTTTCTTAGTATACGTAGTAGTTCAAAAAATTTAGTAAAAAGATATAAATTTATTTAGTGTCTAATAGGACCTAAAAAGAATTTACCATTATAGTAAGGGCCCAAATATATTGGAAAAGAAATATGTAAAAAGTTAATTGGTTGTTCATTTTATAAAATTATTAATTTACTTGTTGTTTCTGTAAGTTTTTTTATCTATACCAAAATCTGAAACTACTTTGCCAAGAAAACCGTGATATATTTTTCATTATTCATCTACCACTGATTCTTTTGATTATTCCATCCGTAAAAATTCTATTTTTGTATTACAACATAGCAGATTTCTTATTATTGACTAAGAAAACTCCTATGATGAAATCTTTGTTGAGTGTCCGTTAATTCATCTTTGATTATCTGACGCATGACATCTAATATGAAATTGAAACTCAAAGCCATTTTCAAATATTATGAACAAATCCCAAGGATTTGGACGAATCCTGACCAAATTAAGGTGACGCTTATTTTTTAAAAGACGTTGAAGTCTGATTTATAAGAGGTGATGCTGAAGTATAAAATCTTAAACAATCAGACTGTTTTTTTTTATGTCTGAAATCTGAATTAGTCACACTGTTTGTTTCATCGTCTGAAATCTGAAGCAATAACTTGATCATAATTTGCAAAAGAGTCATAATTAATTATGTATACATTTATGGTTGTATATACAGTCTCTCTAGTTACATCTTGTATGCGTTGAAGTACACATACACATTTTTTTTTCAATAACTAAATACACGGGCATCAACATCTTTACATGCAATGAAGTTGATAACTTGTTCAGGCATAAGATCTAAAGCAAGAATCATCCGAACAATCAATCAAGACTTGTTGGATCATCATCAACATCTGCTATCAAATATTGAAACAACTTTACGAACAGATCCTTGCGATGCACATGCTTATGATTTTCTTGAACATCTGATCTCCTTTGATTAATGGTTGTTCTACAAACTCCATTAATGGCACCCCACTACATGATCACAATTGCAAGCTAATTAAGATAATAACATGAGTTGACAAGATATTACATTTGCTTGAACTTCAAGATCATCGATATTGATTTGACTTGAAATTGATCTAAGCATACAGATGAAGAAAAGTTGGTAACTTCCAAAGGCCAACAAGAACCTGCACCCAACATGTTTTTCTTAAACTTGTAGAAAACATATATGGAAAGCTTTGAATTGTTGAACAGAGGGACTGCTTGGGATTGAAACCAAACGAACCCGGTGAATCCCACATCAAGATCAAGACTGTCTTTTCTGTAGTCTGATGGGAATGGAGGTGGCTGATGTATGTTTGGACAAGGAGGCAGAATGATATGTTCAAATGAATGAGCATTCTGGTGAAATTTCCAGAACTGAAACACAACTTCTTTTCACATCAATCAAACAACATATTTCAAACAATAGGAATTCATTACTCACCAAAATAAACAAACACAAATCATGAGGGTAAATGGGCAACAAGATAAACTAGGTACACAGCTGCAGAGCCAACCGGTGAACCAAATTGGTAACCTTCAGAAAACAAAAAGAAGAGATATCCATATGAGTTTTTCACACATTGTTCTAATCTCCAATCAAATCAAGCATCGAGAATCAGAATCAAGCATAATCAATAATGTATCTGGTTTCTTTCGTTCAAAGGGAGGATGAAGTTTATGCTCGAGAGACCCAGAAGAGATCGAGAGATCAAAGCTTGAAATCAAGCCATCAGGCGGAGGCGTTTACGTTGACTTAAGAGGTATTAAAGGTTAGGTTTATCACTTAAAAATTCAGAGGAAGAGAACACCATTTGTGCTCTTATTTTGAAAGGAAAAAAAAAACGGTCTGAAAACGGAAATCTCTGAATAATTCAAACTTAAGAGGTGTTTAAGAGGAAATTTCAAAAAAAACAATCGGCGCCTTGGCTTTTATATATATATATATATACACATATATATACATATATATATATGTGCTAAATAAGATTGATAGATTCCTTTATAGCAACAAAAAAAAAAAGCAGAATAGGGGACAAAAAAGTAGGGAATGACATCTAATTGGTTTGAGATGACTCAGAAATTTGATGAGAGGTACATATTAATTAACCATTCATTGATGGAGAAATTTTGATAAAACAACAAACAAAAATAGTTCTAGTTATAGCTATACATGCTCTATGTACTGCCTTGTTCTGTGTTATGGAGTTTTATCGGTTTTCCCCTGACAACCAAATGGAACCCCTTTAGCTTTCTTGAATTATTTGACATTGATGTACACCAGGGTTTCTTTGTCTTGTATTCCACGATCTACAAGTCATTTGTATGCAACTTTGAATCAAAGAACCACGATATATAAGAAGAAAAAAGGCCTTCGCTCCAACGCCACGCTAGCTTGTTCATTAATCCTTTGGAAAGCTAAATGCTAATTAAGCTATAACTACTAGGCAAGGATTAACCAAATTAACAATCGACCTCGCTTTTGTCTGGTTTCCCACGTACGTAGAGTCTTTCAACAATGCCCGTATCAAAAAACAAGCCGTTGCTTCATCTTTATATATGAAACCGCAATGGGTTTTAATTAGAGATGCTGACAACCGGACTAACAAAAAGATCTCAAAATCATACCAACATCCATGACATGATAGCACCTAACTTAACCCCACACCCCAACTCGCACTGCTCTTAGTGGCACATAGACTGCCATTACAAGAAGGTATTAAATATGGATTTCATCGTCAACATGAGGTCATAAGCTTGATCAAACAGATACAAGAACTACATGACAACTGTTACCACTGATTTATGGAAGGGGAAAATCGATAGTGTGCTTAAACTACATGGCAACTGATCATGTACGTATGCCTCCACATTGCAACAGATGGTTGTTGATGGGTATTTACCAGTTCAACATCAGTGATCCGATGTTAGCATGATCATGATTTCCTTTGCTTCCTATCAGAAGTGTTGTTCGCCAATATCTGTACCTTGGGTTAAAAGGACCAAGGAAAATTGAGTGGATGGTACACCTTAATTTCAATGAGATCTCAAGAGAATCATGTTTGTCTTCCACAAAAAGCTAGTAACTTTATTGGTGTTATGCATCATAGGTTCTTCCCATTCCCCACATTTCAATTTCATGCCTTTCTTGAACTTGATTGTCCCCAATTGAACCCCAAATCATATATAGATATTGTGATTGCCTTTTGCCTTTAAATCAATAATCTCATGAGCCCGAATCATATATACATACATACATACATACATAAATAGATGAATCGTGTAAGAAAAACAGTTATGATGAGAACGATAAGCACACTTCTAACCTTTTAATCTATCTAAATTTTGTTCAACAACTTTCACTACCTTCAACTACATTCCATTTACCTCTATCTTCCATTTTAAGTCGCATAAATTTATTAACTTTCAGTCATAATAATAAAAATAGGTAAATAAATGTTTTGTTCTCACGTTCTTGCTATAACTGTTATTCTTACCCGAACCCAACCCTCTATATATATATATATATATAATAGTAAATAAATAAGATAATAAAAAGCTAGTAAAAAACAAGAAAAACCCTACTGAGATAAGTTGCCCATTTAGATCAGCTAATGAACTCCAATCTTTGAGTGGAGGCCCTCCTCCACTTGTCCCTACTGCTGAAATCTCCCCTTTAAGTTCGAACCCTTTACAAAGAACAATGGATATTATAGAATTTTTACAGTGGTAAAAAACGATTAAACTCCCAGAAGAAACGCCAAAACGCCATTGGGAAGTGCTTTTCTGTCAATATTACAAAAGACAAATGGATTTCTGAACATATGCCTACTTTGTCAATATATCGACTACTTACATGCAATTTATGCTGAACTAGAAGCCCCTGTTTGCAAACCTAAAGTTTTACTTTCTTTCTCTACAGATAAATATAAACTTCTGCTCTCTCTCTCTCTTTTTTCGTTATCTTAATATTAAAATCGAATCAATTTATTCGTTGGTAATATAAAAGGTAAGTTTTGATGTTGATGTATCAAAAAGTAAGTTTTGATGTTGATGTATCTGAAGAGAAAAAGGATCAAGTAGGAATATATTTAGCGGTATAAACGTAAAAAAGTGAGTTTTGAGTTTTGATGTTGATCGGAAAAAAAAAAATTGGAATAAAAGGAGAATTATTTATTGTATAGAGAGGGGCCTATAACTATAAGATTCCAAACAGGGAGGTTCACCGATTACCCATATAAACGGCCTTGGCGTTTCTTTTATCACACCTCTCAAACTCATACTAGTCTTCATTAAGTCTCTCTCTTCTTACTCAACTCAACTTACCCTTTGATCAAAGAAACAGAATTAATACAATGGCAATAGATTGCATGATCAACACTCCATCATCCGTGTCTTCCATTAAGGAAGAACACAAAGAAGACCAACAAAGGTCACTAGTTTTCGATGCATCGGTCCTACAACACGAAGCTAACATACCCCAACAGTTCATATGGCCCGATCATGAGAAACCCAACTCCCAAAAGTCTGAGGCCCTCGAGGTTCCTTTGATAGACCTTGGAGGCTTTCTTTCTGGACACTCCAGTTCAGCCAACGAAGCCTCCAGGCTAGTTGGTGAGGCTTGTCAGAAACATGGCTTTTTCTTAGTCGTCAATCATGGAGTTGATGCAAATCTAATATCTGATGCTCAACGGTACATGGACTTGTTCTTTGAGCTTCCACTTTCAGAAAAGCAAAGAGCTCAAAGAAAATCCGGTGAGAGCTGTGGATATGCCAGCAGCTTCACCGGAAGGTTCTCTTCTAAACTGCCTTGGAAAGAGACACTCTCCTTCCGATTCTCAGCCGAGAAGAACTCATCCAACATAGTTAAGGACTATTTCAACAACACAATGGGAAAAGAATTTGTCCGACTCGGGTATGTTTTAAATTATACATACATACATACATACATATATATATAAACTAGATTTTTGTTACCATACACTATGATTTGTTGATTACAGGAACGTGTATCAAGAATATTGCAATGCCATGAGTAGGCTTTCTCTTGTGATCATGGAGCTACTGGGGATGAGCCTTGGTGTGCGCCGAGCTCACTTCAAGGAATTCTTTGAAGAAAATAATTCGATTATGAGATTAAACTACTATCCACCATGTCGAAAGCCAGACCTCACCTTAGGGACAGGACCTCATTGTGATCCAACATCTTTGACAATTCTACACCAAGATAACGTGGGTGGGCTAGAAGTGTTCGTGGACAACGAGTGGCGTTCCATTACACCAAATTCAAGTGCTTTCGTTGTCAACATCGGTGACACATTCATGGTAATCAACCTCTTTGTGATTAGGTTCTTTGTTGTATATCAATGATCTTACGGGAAGTACAGGGAAATTGGATTCTTTTTTCCTTCCTGCACTGTTTTGGTTTTATTTGGTGTTTTGGCTTTTTTCCGAGTACTATTCATTTGCATATTGCTTTTCTTTTTGAAGTTTATTTTGAATTTAAACCGATTATCTGTTTCAGGCACTTTCAAATGGAAGATACAAAAGTTGCTTACACAGAGCTGTAGTAAACAACAAAAGTCCTAGAAAGTCACTTGCTTTCTTTCTATGTCCAAAGAAAGATAAGGTGGTGAGGTCACCAGATGAACTGGTGGACGAAAATAACCCTAGGATATATCCAGATTTTACATGGTCTACCTTTCTCGAGTTCACTCAGAAGCATTACAGAGCTGACATGAATACCCTCCAAGCTTTCTCCATCTGGGTTCAACAGAAGACCAGCAGAACTTGATACTACATCCATCTCATCAGGTGTACTCTCTCTCCCTCTCTGACATGCAAGCACGAAGACAATGGAAACTGGAAGACGATTGTCAAGGAGGGTTAATGGAACGCATGAAGATTTATGCATGCTTTGAAATCTTTCCCTTTTTAGTTTCTTTAGGTCAAGAGTCGAAGGAGGAAAGCAATGTTAAGGACGCAAGGCAAGATTTTAATCTCCATGGGGGCTAAACTAGGAATAAAGAGAAGCATATATGAGCCAATTTTGTAATTCTGTTTTGGACTATATGTAGAAAAGCTTGTTCACTTATCACTAGCACCAATGTTACCTTACTCTCTTTAGTTGCTACTTGTATACGTATATATAAATGGCATCCTATGCATTAATTATTCAATCCACACCTGGTTTTCCAAGTCCGTAATCCTCTCTCTCCACCCTTCCTAATCCTTCATTTTCATGTTAAATAATCTTATATAAATCATCTCCCTGGAAGCAAGCAATACCATCACTTGACTCACCTTGCTTCTTGCATGCTAAAATATATTGAACACCTATATATATATGATGTACATAAAGCATGAACAAACAATATATAGTGTTGTAAAATGTAATGGTAAAACCTTTCAAGATTGGGTAAATAATTGATCAAAGTGGTAAAGCATGTGTAAAATAATTTAGTAGGTACAAATAGAGTACATAGGTGCAGGATGGCAGTGGGGAGGGAGGGGGACTACCTTGTGAGTTCGTCTACTCTCCAACCAGCAAACATTACTCCAAAGGTGATCCCACACTTCAAGAATGATCCCATGTCACATCCTTGCAAAATAGCATTAGTGTCATTGGATCTACTTTGGGATTTTTCTTTCTTTTTTGCTTTTTATTTTTCATGGGGGCACTGATAAGGACAAATTCAGGACTAGCTAGCTAGTAGGGTTGAATTACCTGTGTAAGGCATTTTGGTAATTTCATCCCGGTCTCAGAGTGTGTGTACATATATGTGACCCCCCCCCCCCCCCCCCCCAACACAAAAATGAATCATTTTGTGTCTTGACGCAAAATGTGATTCCGAAGACTGGGTCAAGTACGGTGTTATTCCTCGAGACACAAATCCATGAAAGTTAAGAGATATAAATCTATCTTCAATTTCTTGTTTTTAAATAATAATGTAGAAGAGAGTATGAACTATAGTCCACGGAGGCTTTGACAGAGCTTTCCTTGTAATGGATTCTTCTGCCACAAGGGGTTTTGGTTTATTCATACCAATATTTTAATATTCCGATATTGATTAAGCCCGATTTCATTTCTTTCATTAAACAAGTCTATTTTTGATTTTGAGTGTCCAATTAATCCTCTTTTAATTTTGCAAATATGATGTGTCATTTAAAACTATAACGAAAATATCTTACGGGAAACTAAATTTTCTGACTAAAAAATGGGATTATGATTGAACGTTAAGCATTTAATGAGTTATTTTTTATTTTAATTTTTTAAATGATAAATATATCATAACATCTGATAACTACATTTAACCACTGTATTTAGAAGATTAGAAGGAATACTCAGAAACAAAATACCTGTAACTCAATTTATGAAACATGAGTTTATGTAATACGTTGAATACACAAGAGTGATAATGTGTTCTAAATCTCTAATCTTAATAAAATAATAATCACTTGAATAAACCAATCAAGAAAGAAAACACAAATACACATATATATATATATATATATATATATATATATATATATATATATATATCCGGACATTTGGAGGGTAGTGGGAGAAAAATATAGAAAGTATGTTAAAATAGAGATAGGAACACAAGGGTATTTGTCTTGATGTTTGTCGTTTGTTAATTTGCTGCAACATTCTTTCTATGGTATACAAACAATATTATTCCAAACGTTAGTGGACAAATTATACCATGCAATTCCTCACGTACACAACCTCGTCACTTCTGTCTTTTTCCTATATAACTCGTATAAATACTCGCCCGTTTCAAGTCTCCGAGTCAAAGGGGTCATTTATTAAACGCTCACTCGGTTAGTGTTTAGCGGCTCACTTTATCTTATCGAATGAACATAACTAGAATTGAGAATCTTATCCAACAAGAACGATGACAAGAACAGAAAGCTACCCGATAATTGAGAGTGACGATTCTTACCCGTTAAGCGTTTATTGGATAAAAAAGTGTATACGATGTCGTTTTAATAGACTAAATCCTACTAGGTAACTTAACTGACAATATTGACTGTACCTAAATGTTTATCAGATAAACATTGAGTAAACAACCCCTGTTCTAATTAGTTCAATCTGGGACTCAAATTGGTTTGGACTCACCCATGCAATTTTAGGGGCCGAAATTTGTCATTATTTAACGTATGTATATAAATCTTATTGTTTATTGTTGAGAAACTCATTCATATTGTATAGGTTTAGAGATGATTTTTTGTAAATTTATACATATTTATTACGACATTTCATTTGATGCTTATTCTAGTATATACCTTTATGGGGTAACCATGGGTATCCAGCCATTTTATATACTCCGACTAAACCCCGAGCGATTATGAATGGTCCAGAGTTATCGTAGGTAAACCTCCATGATCACAAGGGTTACTTTTAATTAATTTATTATAATTTAGAGGTTGGCTACAGGAAAAATCATGAAAAAGCAAAAATTCCTTAAAACCAAGTATACTATTAATCTGATGATCATCAGAAATAACAATTTTTTCAAATGAAAATTGCAAAACAGTACAATTCAATTATAAATAAATGGTTTGATGTGATCTTCTCCATGGTCTTAAAAATCTAGGAAAAATGAAATTTGAGGATATTAATCATTTAAGAACTTTATAAATTATGAGATTCAATGTAAGTCATTCATTTTAATTAAAATATTATATGATTTAATGTTATCATTCCCCACTCTTTCTCTCTCTCCTCATTTGAAAACTCAGTCATATCCTACTTTTTCTTTTGAAGATATGTACCTCTTTTGACTACCACAGATAAAATCCGACAACCGCACGTAGATTTACCCAAATGGAAGAGAAGGATACATGGCTTTTGATTGTTGTGGAGGAGACAAGGAGGAGGGGATAGAGATGGTGGTTTTGGGGCGAGTTTTGGGCGGTGGTGGTGGAGGTGGGGAAGATGATGAAACAACCATGGTGGACGAGATACGAAAAAAAAGGGCCGGAGACAATGGCTTTCGGGCGAGTTTTGGGCGTTGGCGGTGGAAAAGGGAGGTGGGGAAGACGGAGCGACCACGGTAGAGGAGGATGAAGAGGAGATTGAGAAACAGATGATGAAAGTAAGAAGCTTTTGCAAATCCATGGATATGTACAAAAATTCACAAAGTAGATCATATATGATATGTAATAGATTATATATAAAATGAAACTAATCACATGTAATTCAAAAAGTCGATCTAAAAAATTGAGAGAAAACAGTGAAAAAGATAATGAATTGATTGTGAATATTACGTGTGATATTTGATGAGAATTAAGGATTTTTTTTTTTATGAAAAGTGTGATATTTGAAGTCAGTGCGTCCACTACCATAATTTGCCTTATCCAAGTGGTAAATCAATTCACAGTCATAGTACTTGAATAGTTCTAACCATCTCGGTTGTCTCATGTTCAATTCTTTCTGATCGAAGACAAACTTCAAACTCTTTTGGTCAGTATTAAGGGTGCCCTTAGTATCGTAGAGGTAGTGTAGGCATAATTTTAAACAAACACCACAGCCGCCAATTCCAAGTCATGAGTAGGGTAGTTTCGCTCGTGCTCTTTGAGTTTGACACATAGGTGATCACTTTACCCCCGTTGCATCAAAACACAATCCAATCCCGTCTTAGAGGGGTCACTATAAACCACAAAGTCTTTGAATCCTTTAGGCAAGGACAAAATCGACGCTTCATAAAACTTTTTCTAAAAGGTCAGGAAAGATTTCTCTTGGGTCTCGGTTCACACGAACTTCAAATTATTCTGTGTTAAGGCCTTCAAAAAAGAAGTGATCTTGGAGAAATCTTGAATGACTCTCCGATAGTAACCTGCTAAATCCAAGAAGCTTCAGTATTTCATATGAACTCTTGGGCGGTTCCTTATTCATCATGGCTTCAATTTTGGAGGGGCCCATCTTCATTTCTTCTCAAGTGACCACTTGACCCAAGAATTGAACATCTCCCAACCATAAATCACACTTGGAGAACTTGGAATAAAGTTTCTCTAATCTCAACACTTCAAGGAACTCATGAAGGTATCATTCTTGTTCCATCTTGTCCTTTAAATAGACGAGGATGTCCTCGATGAACACTAATACAAATTTATCAAGAACACAAGATACAGACCCTGAATTATCAAATCCATAAACACCACTAGAACGTAGTCAACCCAAAAGGCGTTACTAGAAACTCATAATGACCGTAGCACATCCTAAAGGTTGTCTTTGGGACATCATCACTCTTCACCCTTACTTGCAGATATCCCGAACGAAGGTCGATTTTCGAGAAGCAACCTGCCCCTTAAAGTTGATTGAACAAGTCTTCAGTCCTAGGGAATGGATAATTGTTCTTAAAAATTGCTTTGTTTAATTCCTGATAATCGATGCATATCTTCATGGTGCCATCCTTCTTCACAAATAAAATCGGAGCTTCCCATTGCAACGAGCTCAGTCTCACAGATCTCTAATCGAGAAGATCTTGTAGATGATTCATTATCTCTGTCATCTTGAATGGAGCCAAACGGTATCCTAGCAATCAGAGTTTCCCCCAAAATGAGATCGATCCAAAATTCTACATGTCGATCGAGTGGCAAACTGAGCAAGACATCTAGAAATCCGTAGGGGAAATTGCAAACAACTCTCACATCCTCGAGCTTCTTTTTCTATATCTTGGCATCTATAACATATGCTAAGTATGAGAAGCATCCATTCACCATGAAGTTACATGCTTTCTCTATCGAAATGACTACGACATCTCGCTTCCTTTTTTCCACGTAGATGAGTACGACATCGCTGTCGAACACCGGAACTCGAATTAACTACTTGGAACATAAAATCTCAGCCTATTTCTCAGCCAACCACTTCGTCTAAAATACTACATTGAATCCACCAATGACCATCAGTAATAGATTTATCGGGAATTTCTTCCCCCAAATTTCAAGGACACAACCCTTTAGAACTTATCAGATTAGAACCTGACTACCATTTGCTACTTCTACTATCAATGCATTCTTTAAGATATTAACAAACACATAAACATTTTAGAAAAAATAATATTATTCAAAAGAATAACTTGCACTAGAGTCAAATATGATACGAGCAGGTACGAAGCTTACAAGAAACGTACCAGAAACCACATCTAATGACGCCTTGTCTTCTTCAACAGTCATTTAAAATGCTCG